GCGGTAGCTATGTCAGTGGGAGAAGCTCCCTCCTGCCAATATAGCACTGTCCACACCAGCGCTTATGTTGGTGTAACTTATGTTGCTCAGGAGTGTGGTTTTTTCACACCCCTAGCGACATAAGTTATACCAACCTAAGTGGTAGCGTAGACATAGCCTAAGTGTACAAGTTTCAATACAATTCAGTAATAATCCCTTGGAATTGTGTTTTCTGGAAGCATTACCAAAACCTTGCAACTAGTGCAATGTGTTTTCTGCATAATCCACTTTTTTCATGTTTCCTCTAAGAAATGTTTTAGCCTTGCAAATAGGATGAAGTAAATGTTGTAAGGTCACATCTTCAGCTGTTGCAAATTAGCATAGATGACTTTCTCACCCCCTGCTTCTTTATCCAGACTGATTCATCCATTAATCTTCCAAGGAAAAAAACAGCCTTAAGAACATTTGTATGATTCTTCAGCAAGTATAACATTTGCATATCATACAAAAATTACTACGCGCTGATATCTTTCTCCACTAAGGCAGGTCAAGTGATTTAAATAAATAACCAAGTCAAAACACAAATTTGATTATTAGAGTTCTATTTTACAACTTAAGAGCTACATTGATTTTTCATTACAAGGCAGGGCAATGCACATAATGCAGAGAATAACACCTCTTTTTAAACACATGTACATATATACAGTACACTAGCAAAATGTGAACACAAATACACTTTCTTTTTTTTTTAAGAATGAGAAGAACTCATGGGGTCAAGTCCTTTCACTCCTCTTTTTCAACATTTCCCCAGATGATACTATGGAGTTACTGAATAACCCTATATTTATTTTAAATAACTGGAAAATGCTTTACCATTCACATATGATTTTCTCTTTTGAACAGGGTTTTTGGATTGCTTTCCAAACATTTCAATTGTCGTCTTTCGCATACCATATTATTTAAATTAAAAAAATTATAGTTATACATTGTTAATGCCATATGAAGGACGAAACCCATTTCATATATATCCTGTGGCTCTCTGATCCACAATGTGGAACCTAATTGTGTATTCTCTGCACACTGCACAGAACCCAAGTTAAGAATTCTTCATAGAGGAGGGCAGATATGCAGTAGAATGTAGATCCACATTGAGATTTAGAGACTAGAATTTTGCCCTTAGTACATTAGGCACATCTGATAGCTCAGGGTAAAATTCACTCTCTCTTTGAATGTTAGATTATTTAGAAAGGAGTACAGCCACTTAGGCAAAGTTTAACTAACGAATTATGAGCCAGGTTTTCAGAGTTGGGAATGTGCAGTCATTGCAGGTGCCTGGCTTACGTCTGCAAATCACAGATGTGCACATGCAAATCAAATCACAGAAGTGTAGGACTGGAAGGGACCTCAATAGGTCATCTACTCCAGTAGCCTGCACTCAAAGCCGGACTAAGTAATAAGTAGACCATTCCTAACAGGTATTTGTCTAACCTGTACTTAAAAACCTCCAAGGACGAAGATTCCACAACCTGTCCAGGCAATTTATTCCACTACTTAACTACCCTGACAGTTAGGAAGATTTTCCTAATGTCCAACCTAAACCACTCTTGCTGAAATTTAAGCCCATTGCATCTTGTCCTATCATGAAAGGTTAAAGAAAACTATTTTTCACCCGCCTCTTTATAACAGCCTTTAATGAAAACTGTTTATTTTTATTTGAAAACTGTTTATCTGAAAACTGTTATCATGTTCCCCCCTCAGTCTTCTCTTCCCAAGACTAAACAAACCCAATTTTTCTTCTAGGTAAGGATAAAAGTTGGAAAAAACAGGGTGATATCATGACAGGGGCCTATAGACCACCTAACCAAGAAGAGGTGGATGCGTTTTTTTTAAACAACTAACAATCATCCAAAGCACAGGACTTGGTGGTGATGGGGGACTTCAACTACCCAGACATCTGTTAGGAAAATAATACAGCAGGGCACAGATTATCCAAAAAGTCCTTGGCATGCATTGGAGACAAATTTTATTACAGAAGGTGGAGAAAGCAACCAGGGGAGAGGTTGTTCTAGATTTGATTTTTGACAAATAGGGAGGAACTGGTTGTGAATTAAAAAGTGGAAGGCAGCTTGGGTGAAAGTGATCATGAAATGATAGAGTTCATGATTCTAAGGAATGGTAGGAGGGAATACAGCAGAATAAAAATAATGGATTTCAAGAAGAAAGACTTTAGCAAACTCAGGATGTTGGTAGGTAAGATCCCATGGGAAGAAAGTCTAAGGGGAGAAACAGTTTGAGAGAGTTGGCAGGTTTTTGAAAAAGACATTGTTAAGGGCACAAGAGTAAACTATCCCACTGCATAGGAAAGATAAGAAGTATGGCAAGAGACCACCCTGGCTTAATCAGGAGATCTTCAATTATTTGAAACTCAGAAAGGCATCCTACAGAAACTATGTCAAATTAGGAAGGATGAATATAAATAAACAACTCAAGCATGTAGGAACAAAATTTAAAAAGGCCAAGGTATATCTTGACTTTAGTAAGGCTTTTGATACTGTCTTGTGTGACCTTCTCATAAACAAACTAGGAAAATATAGCCTAGATGAAGCTACTATAAGGTGCCTGCATAACCGGTTGGAAAACCGTTCCCAGAAAGTAGTTATCAGTGGATCACAGTCAAGCTGGAAGGACAGATCAAGTGGTGTCCCACAGGGATCAGTTCTGGATCCGGTTCTGTTCAATATCGTCATTGGTGATTTAGATAATGGCATAGAGAGAACACTTATAATGTTTGCGGATGACACCAAGCCAGGAGGGATTGCAAGTGCTTTGGAGGATAGGATTAAAATTCAAAATGCTCTGAATAAACTGGAGAAATGGTCTGAAGTAAATAGGATGAAATTCAATAAGGACAAATGCAAAGCACTCCACTTAGGAAGGCACAATCAATTGCACACATACAAAATGGGAAATGACTGCCTAGGAAAGAGTACTGCGGAAACGAATCTGGAGGTCAGAGTGGATCACAAGCTAAATATGAGTCAACAGTGTAATACTGTTGCAAAAAAAGCAAACATCATTCTGGGATGTATTAGCAGGAGTTTTGTAAGCAAGACATGAGAAGTAATTCTTCCACTCTACTCCCTGCTGATAAGGCCTCAGCTGGAGTATTGGGTCCAGTTCTGAATGCCACATTTCAGGGGACAAATTGGAGAAAGTCCAGAGGAGAGCAACAAAAATGATTAAATTTTGGCCATGTAGGCACAATCAGAAAGTGCTAGATTTAACCAGATACTGCGGCCAATATTTTCAAGAATAGGTCCCTAAAGTTAGGATTCTAAGTGCTTAAGTGCCTAAGTAAGTGGCATGAATTTCAAAAGTGCTGGGCACCTAGCAGTCTATGGACTCTGCACTCACTTAGGTACCTAAATATGAACATAGGAGCCTACATTTAGGCACCCATTATTGAAAATATTGGCATGTGTAACTTTATTTAAAATCATACATGTCTGCTTGGAGTTAAGAGGCAGCTTAAGGCACCAACAAAACAGCCTCCAGTTGAATTGCACTGTAAACTATGATGGTGACCTCATGTCTTTACTATGAATGATGAAAATGATCAAACAGTTGGTGTTCACTTGGTGTCTAATTCTGCTCCCAATGAACTCAACAGCAACACTCCCATTAGCTTCAATGGGAGTAAGATTAAGATCCTAGATGGTGTAGTTGTTCTAGTAGTTAAAAGCACATGGGTGGGAGACGATGTTCCGTAGTTTAGTCTCAGCTCTGCCATAAACTTACCTTATAACCTTGGGCAAGTCACTTAAGTTCTCTTTGCCTTGGCTTCTATGCGTTTATTGAAAAATGGAGGTAGTATTACTTACTCAATGTATAAGACTCTTTTGAGGCTAAATGTATCAATGTGACTAAATGTGTAATGAGAGCTTTCTCTAGCCAGTGCCATAGTGTGTACTTATAAATACAATTAACTCTCATTGATTTTTGTGTCAATTTACTACATTTTTAGTAACCAGTCATCGTATACATTCTTTGCTTTTTAAAATTTGCTTAAATGGTGTATAGATCAAGACCAGCTAACATAATATTAATTTTAGCCATGCCTATTTGCTCTTTTACTGTTGGGTATTGTGTTATACTGTTTTTTTAACGATTTAGTGACCAGTCAAGAATTCTTTGCATTTTTCTAGTATTTTGCTGAAAAACAAGTTGTTGAAAGGCATACTGGAATATCCACAATCAATAAATATACATCTTTTGGAGAATCACATATAAAAACAGTACGCATCGTATGTGACTTAACATGTGCTAAAATATATTAAGGATTATCTTTAAATCTTGACTTTTTTAAACATTGAAAAGTTTTCACAATACACAGACACAATAAAATAATTTTGGTCTGAAGGCAGATCATGCTTAAACTGGATTTCCACAATACAGACAAACTTATGTTATTTCACACAAAGTAGTTAATGAGAATTTTGATTACATAGCTCTGCCATGTTTTGTAGTCTCAGAACTGATACTATTAATTGTAAAGCAGCAAAATAAGTTAAGATGCCTTCTTTTTGTTTCTGAAGCAAAGATTTTTAGGTCAAAACAGAGTTTCTGCCATAACCTGATTTAGTGTTATCACCAAATGTTGCTTGGCATAGACTAGATGGTGGCAGATATATGCTATAAGAAGAACAGTTCAATTTTTTTTCTTGTCCAGAGTCACCTGATACAATATGAAGCACTTCCTACCTTGCTGAAAGTGGGTATTTTACCACTTGCTCATCTCCACTGTAAATATGGTTCCAAAATCTGGCAGTCAGTCTTCTTTTTTCTTTGAGCTTATTTTGGGGAATTCTCTGTCCTAAGCAAATAACGTATTTTAGTTCAAACTATGAGAATTCCTAAATATTATCAAAAATGTCTCAAACCACAGTGGTTATTTGAGTTAGTCCAAGATCATTCGATTCTCCTCTTCCTTGAGGACAGTAAGATGACATCTCCACGACTAGTCATACTGGTTTGTTTGTCCCATCCACTTCCCTCAGGTAAGCAGGGTCTTGGACTGTGTTTCTGACTCTGCTGGTGCTCTGCCTGTCCATCCTCATCTTAAAGGGAAAGCAGAAGTCCTTGAAACAGCGCTTGAAGTTTTCATCCAAAAAAGCATACAGGATAGGATTTAGACTGCTGTTGGTGTAACCCAAAGCAATACAGAAATAATAGCTGGAGATTGCTGCAGTGCTATGGGGCACATCCCCTAGTGCCTCAACCAGCACAAAAATGTGAATGGGAGTCCAACAGATAATGAAAACTGCCACAACTACAAGAACCAATCTGGTGATCCGACGAAGGTTTCGGTCTTTTTCTCGAGACCCTGAGAGAAGTCGTACGCTCTTCAAGCGCAGGATCATCAGGGTATAGCAAACAATGATAATGAGAACTGGAATAACAAACGCAAAGACAAAGACGCAGATTTTCATGAAGATGTCCCACCACACATAATCAGTGTCTGGAAACTGCAAAGAACATTCAGTACTAGCAGTATCTATAAATGGAAGAGGCAAGAAGAAGAAAAAAATTGCTTTATTATTAGACATTCCAACCTATATCTGTATTACAGTATAAGCTTGCAAAAGTGATTACCATGTAATGTGATACAAATAAATGGAGTTATCATTAAATCACTCCAATAATTGCTTTCAGTTGTCATTGAAACTAGTTTTCCACTGCTGTCTTTCAGGACTAGTTGGAGAATATTTTAAAATGTATTACATTACATACAAACTTTTGTGCACAAGAGTGGCATAAAACCTACAGAGGCACAAAAATACAATCTATAGAGATGCACTGAACAGTTGTTAGGTTCTGGAACTCAATTTGATTTGAGGCCAGGTTCCATGCAGTGGCAGAACCAGGTTTTGCAACTGAGGGAGGGGCAATGGGTTGTTGGTGAACTGGAGGCCTCACACTTGCTGGGAAGCAATGGTCCTGTCCCACAGGACTAGGTCTGGCTCTTCACTCTGGCCATTGGAGCCTGGTGCCGCAGCACCATTCAGATTTGGCCTGGCCACCTCTCCATCATGAAAGAAGGGCAGCCAGGCCAAATTTTAATGAATGGTGTTGTGACTTGGAGCACAGGGTCACAGCCCCATTCAGGTTTGGCCCAGCCACCTCTCCATCATGATGGAGGTCTGTGTGGGCCAAATTTAAGTGAGTGGCATTGCGACGTTGCACATGGGGTCTCAGCACCACACAAACCTGTGAACTGTGTCACAGCACCCAGAGTGAGGAGCTGGGCCCAGCTCCGCAGGACAGGAACCGCCTCTGCCAGGTGAGAGTGGGATGGACTCAACCATAAGCCCAGTGTGAAAGCTGTCACACATACATCCAAAGGCTAGCAGGGGCGTGAGAGTCACACACACACACACACACACACACACACACACACACACCCTCCTTATTAGCTCCACCACCGGTTCAACTGAGTTGAAACCTTGTGGCTGCTTTCATGCTGTTTCCACCAAAAAAGGCTAGATTTCTGCCTTCCTGAATGGTGGAAATCTCATGAGGTTAGCTGATCCCGTGAGATTTCTGCCATCATGAGATAATCTTGCAATGAGACAATTAGTTTGCAGAAATGTTTTCCCACGTGCTTTCTTCAGTGCAAATGCTATGCAGTCTAAGTGCTGCATTCCCTTGGAAATAATATCTTTTTTTAAATGAATCATAGGTAAAGCAAACTGGTATACACAGAGTCTAACTGAGTTGCTCCTTTTGCAGAACACTTAATTGAGAATTCTGTCTGAGTAGGGACTGCAGGATTTGACCCCATTGACATCAGTTCACTTCTGTTCTTGCTGTAATTTTATGAATGGGGGGTCACATGCTGACATTTTATTTTATGTTCTAGTCTTACTTCATCATACAGGAGGCTTGTAGTCAGTGTGATATTCTTAAGTTCACTTGCTTACCTCAGTGTAGTATTCCATCATATAAACCAAGCACAAGGAAAAACAAGACACAAGATAAATGGGAAAACAAGACAAAGGGTCAGAGTCTCCACTAGTGTTTCCTGGGCATTTTTCACTATGACTAGTAGTTTGGCTTTCATTCCTGTCTGTGGAACCCATGTGCCTACTAGGGAGATATCTCTTTACGAGATCTATTGAGGGGTGGATAGGAGTCAGCTGTGTCTGGGTCACTGTTGCTAGGCAGATGCACAATTAGCACTCCACATCCAGAAGTTTCTGGAGTTGGGTGTGGTAGTTTGGGGTATGCTCAATAGAACCCCTAGCTGCTGGAGTCAGACTCCATGAGGGAAAGCAGTCAAGGCAGCTGCTATACAAAAGGCCATGTGTCCTGTGTAGGCTGGGAGAAGCTGAGCCGAGGAGAAGGAAGCAGAGTGTTTTCCTAGCTCTGAATTATTTTGCAGCAGGTTAGTGATATTGTTAACCCTCCAGAAGAGAAGCATGGGCAATGTTAATTATAGAAAGGGAAAATCGGGAGGGAAAACTCATTTCTTTTATTTTAATTGAATATTTTGAATGTTGTTCAAATTTTGAATGTAGTTAAATTGTCTCAACTAATATGATTCACCAACTTTTCTTTTATTTAAATGTGATGATGGAGAAAAAGTCATTTATTTTACTATTCTCATTTTTTGCATTTTTCTTGTGACAGTTTTTTTTTTAAAATCTATATACTTAACTGAGTGGTTGGTTAATCAGTTAGCTGACTGGCTAACTGTGATTTCAGCAGAGGAAGGGGAAGAGTCTGCATGGATTCCAGCTGAAGATTCCTACAAGCAAGTGGAAGGAAGATGTTGCTTTTGACTCAGCAGATTTATAGATTTGAGTTTCAAAGACTCTGAGACACGGGTGAACTCAACCTAAGCTTTTTGGTAACTCTGAGTTTCTTCTCACTGTGTTTCTGCGGGGACTGACCTGTTTAGATTTAATTTGTTTTCTTTATTTACATTTACGTATAATAGTGAAGATAATGTATGTGGATTATAAAATAGCCATCTTATAAACATTGTTATTATTATTTATTATGTTTCTTTAATCATAAGACTTTATACAGTTGTACTTAATTAAGTTCATTCCTTTTGGTCTTTTGGGGACTTGAATGTGGGGAGGCTGACCCTGTGCAATCCTTACTGAAAATCCTTAGAGACTAATTCTAAGTCTCCAGCTGCTTTTCTGTGGTAGTTGGGTTTTTTTAGGCATTGGAAAAGGGCAATGAAGTGAACTTTAGCCCACCCAAAGGTTACATCTGTGCATATTCATTTTCCTCCACTAGAATCATTCTTCTTCTGCAAAATGTTATGCATTGGCATTTACTGGATCAGGATTTAAAAGGAGCCAAGATTCAATGTATTATTTGTACAGCATTGTTTCTTAACAATCTACAACAGACTATTCACTAGGATTGGTCAGAGAAACTTTGATGGAACCATATTCTGTCAAAATATGCAGTTCTGTCAAAATCAAAACACAATGAAATTAGGTCAATTTTGTTGCAAATTCATTTACAAAAAAATTGAAGGGAAAAAACGTCTGAAAGTGTTGATACATCCTATTTTAACATTTTTGGATGAAACTTTTTGATTTTTCATTTTGAAATGACTTTTTTCAAAATTATGTAACTTGTATTGTGTTATATATTCTATAATATTTACAAGAATAGATGTATAAATATAAAATATTCAATTTAATGTTGTCAAATTTTGATTGATCTGAAACTAATTTTTTTCAGAATTTTTCTTCATGGAGAATTTTGAAATTTTCAGGATTTGTTCCAATTCTGAATGAAGCCAAATTTCAAAATCTTTTGTGAAACAGCTCTTCCTCCGTCCTCTCAGCTCTAGTATTCACCATTTTTTGATATTGTATTGCATGTTTTTGCAATATAAATTACAGCAAATATTTGATTTAGATGTCAACTCAGTTCTTTTTACTCTCTCTCTTAATTAATAAATGTGACAGCTTTATGGAGTCTGGGAACAAGTGTTTATATTTTTTAGCTAACTCATTTTTGTGCAATACAGTTAATGCATTTCTTAAGTAGCAGAAAGCACAATATAGACCTCCCTCACACTGTCTGTATTTAAAGAAAGAGGTGGCCTCTGTGGTTCCCCAAAGAAACAAAAAAATGCAAAGGAGAATTTGATTTTAGATTTAGCTTTCATTTTTGGGAAAAGTTTCTAGACCTTCTCCTTGTTGCAAAAGAGCAAAATGATGTTAAAATGATCATTACGCTTGAAAACATGTCCCTGCATTTCCTAATGATCTCAGATTATTCACAATGTCCTCATGGTCATCCAGAGCTGTCATTGTGTGGGTCTTGAAAACCATAGCAAGTCCCTGGATTTGTTATTTTGAAGCAGTATCACAGTTAATACATTATTGTGGGGGGAGGGAGCTGAGAAAGAAGGTGGAAGCAAAATATTTTTTTTAACTTGGAAACATGCTAAGACTGGCCCTGTTTAAAGGCTATAGCACAAAAGTTACTTAATGTTAGATTCTCATGCAAAAGATTTAAAACTCATTCATGAGCTTTGTATAGCACGTGATTTACATTGTGAGAGAAATAAGAAATGTTGCTTCTATTTTACTTTCATACTTAAAATTCCCTGTTAACCCCAATGGCATTCAAAAACATTTCTTTTTTTTTCCTTGAACAAAACAAAATTTCAAAGCCCTCCAAAAAAAAAAAAAAAAAAATCCAAAAAAGTTCCTGCACATTTGTAATTATTAACTTAACAAACCTATTAGAGCAACATTTGGAAGATATTCAATTTACACATTTCCTTTTTCATGTTTCTATGAGTTCTGTGCATGTGAATTTCAAAGCTGCTATTTTCAGATCTTTGAACTTCTAATAGGTTAAAGTCTTCTAGGTTGGAAATTTAAAGAACTGGTAAAACCAATTACTTACCAAATTAGCTTTGAATATATAGACAAAGTAGTTCAGTAAGAACATGTACACTTATCAGTAATCCACATTCCTTTAATTTTAAATTAAAAATTACTTCAATTACTCAAAAAAGTGCAGAATATTGTACATTGTTGTGGATTTCGATCCAGTATCTTCTTTTAAATTTTTCAATTACATAATAAGAAACTGTTGGAATTGACTCAGATTCCACCCTGGCTAAATATATTTTAGTAAAATATTTACTATAACTTACCCAAGGTCCCCACAATGGCAGGGAAATGGCAAAGTAAAATAAACCCAGAAAATCCTGGCAAATGACCCACAGCCACACAGGTGAAAATCCCCCAGGGTCACTGCCAGATTGACCTAGGGGAAAATTCCTTCCTGACCCCCCACATATGGCTAGCAGTTAGATCCTGAGCATGTGAGCAAGGACCAGCAAGCCAAGCAACTAGGGTTGCCAACTTGGTAATATTTAAAAGCCGGACACTCCAGCAGTAGCCCATGAAAGCTTATACTCAAATAAATTTGTTACTCTAAGGTGCCACAAGTACTCCTGTTCTTTTTGTGGATACAGACTAACACAGCTGCTACTCTGAAACCTTAGGAACATAAGACATAATCCAGAAGTAAGACCCAGGGCTATTGAGCCCTACCCCCACCATCACAAGAAACCCTGTTGCACAAACACACTCATAAATTTGTCCATCTCTCTCTCAAAACTAACTACATTGTTTGCCCTCACAATTCCTAGTGGGAAGTTGTTCCAGAACCTCACCTCTGTGATGGTTAGAAACCTTTTTCTAATTTCCAGCCTGAATTTGTTCATGGCCAGTTTGCAGGATCAGGGCCTTGGAAGAAACTAGAATTCCACATTTTTTAAAAAGAGATTGGTCTGTCAGTAAAGGAGAAACCCTATTAAGGTCAGACATACCAAACTTATGCTGCAGGAAGAAAGTGTTAGCAAATACACTGTTGAGAATAATCCTGCATTAGGAGAACTAGATGGGCTAGACAATCTAAGAGAATAATTTTTAGAGATGGGCAAGGTCATTTGATGCTCAGACGTTAAATTGACCACACAGAGTCCTACCCAGAAATACTTGTCCCCACTGGAGAATTAGAGGTTAAACCTGAGCTTTGGTTGGAAGTGAAAAAAGTAGCATGGTCACTTCATCCTCAGGGCCGTCCCTAGGGGGTTGCGGAGCCCAGGACAGAAGTGACGAATCCATCACTTCCGGGACCGACCCGTCTTTCTGGGACCGAACGCGCCGACCAATCGCACCGGACCGCAGGGCCCCAAAAGCACAGGGCCTGCAGCGGTCGCCCTGATTCACCATACCCAAGGGACGGCTCTGTTCATCCTACTCCCGATTTATTTGTTGAATTCAAATAAGCACCAGACAATATAGTTGGCCGTAATTACTCAAATGAGGCTGACAATTAGAAATGCAGGCGTTTTGCAGTCAGCACTGAAGTGCATTTGCAAACAGTGCTCAATCTCACTATGCACAATTATCAGTCTCCAGTTTCAGGAGGAAGAAGCTCACTCATATGATTCAGCAAGGTACTAGGTACATGACTAATTCTTAAGCACCTCTACCCCATTGTAGTGAATAGGATTACTCCTGTGCTTAAAAAGCTACGCACATTCCTAGGTACCTTGCTGACTTAAGTGTTTCGCATCTTTTAAAATATTATATAAGCAAGCCAGACAACTATTCTTCCCAGCTGAGGCTACCAGGAAAGGACTCTTTCCAGAGCCAGTTATTGCTTTATTGAGACTGTCGATGCTTTATTAGTCAAAAAAGTTCCTGCAAAGCAGTGGTTCTCAACCTAGTTACCATTGTGGGCCACATCCAATACTAGCTATATAGCCCTGAGGATGTCACATGGACCATAGCTCTGTGCTGATTGGGCCGCAGGTTGAGAACCACTGCTGCAGAGCAAGAGAAGACACTTTCTTTCCAAAGGTCTGAATGCATCCCAAGATCAGGAACAAAATCCATACGTTTTGCACACCAGTGCAGACCAATAGCAACAAGTTTCCTCTCTGAACTTGCTAATGCTTGTTTGCATGGATCTATGCCAAACGATTTAACAGAAATTGAAATCAGTAGCAGCTGCTTTCATAAATGGGTAGAGCAGTCTTCCATAAAATTCATAAATTCCTGTCTGCTGGAGTTCCACAGTGTTTAGAGATATGCAGCTACTATTACGCCCCATAAGAGGGACAATATGAGCTCCACTCCACAGCTGACCAGGTCTGCTGATTGATGCTATAGCGGTGGGGTCATGGCCACAGCACATCGCTGCTCCATCCTCCCCACTTTTTGGGTGGCTCAAAGTGCTAACCCAATGAAGTTCTTGAGTAAGAGAGAGCACAAGAGCTACAATTGTCCTCATCTTCTCGAGAGGGGTCATAATATGGCTTACATTTACTTAAGATGGAATCTGAAGTCACTGAATATGCACTGGAATTCATAATCTTCCAAGTGACACAAATATTTAGAGGAACGCGGATATAGATTACAATACATGGCTTCTTGGTCTTCTAAGTAGTACTTATTCTGACTCTACCTAAAAAAGTCAAGAGCTACTAATCTTATGCATTTAAATCTTTCATTGGAGAAGCATGGCATCAAAATGTTTCCATTTTTTCCTCAGATGTTCCTCCATTTGGAATATAGAGCATTCTGCTTTATAGGGCCCGATTCTCTGCTGCCTTCTACTTTGTAGCTTGTGCAAATTAAGTGTTCAACTCTACCTCATCAGGATGGTTGTGCTTTACACCCACTTGGCATGTGTTTAAAGCACTGATCTATTAGGCCAACAGAATACTCAGATTCACTGAAACTCATTTGTGCATGCATGTCCATTTACAGTGAAACTCTGCTTCTAAGGGATAATCCTGCAGTCCTTACTCAGAATGCTAGTTCCCATTATAGTACCTGTCCCATAGACCCTATGCCTCTCTGTTGCCCTATCTTGCTCCTACTCCCAACTCCTCCCTTGTCATACCTTTCTCTCCAGCTACTATGACCTATCTTCTTTCCCCTCTTCTTCTCTAAGCTCCTTGAATTGGTTATTTACAATCACCCTCTGACTTCTAATTCTGCTTGACGCTCTTCAAACACCAATCTGGCTTCCATTTTTGATCTCCACTGAAACTTCTCTCATGAAGTTCTCCAGCCAAATCTCAGACATTTATGCTGACTTCTTCCTCCTGGACTTATCAGGATAATGCATCATAAAATGTCATTTGTTCATTTAGTTGACCAGTGTATCTTATCTTTAACTTTAATATTTCATACTATAATATTCTGTAGCATATTTAAGTATTGAAGTCTTAGAAATATGAGTTCTTAGAGAAGTGTTCCACTATTACAATTTTGCTGAGAAAATGTGACCGGGTTTTTTATGTACAATTTAAATGATGTACAAATTAGTGAAGTGGGATTCGATAAGGTTCCACTCTACTCAGTATTCCAAGTTACATTTATATTATTTTAGAAGCAAAAGAATTTGAGTTTAAAATTATCAAAATTATGCTCACCTTCTCTGACTTTGGTGCCTCCAAGGACTATGGCAGATATACCAACAGATGAGGACAATAGCCAGATACAGATATTGATTATCTTTGCCTTGAGAGGAGTGCGGAAGTCCAGGGCTTTCACGGGGTGGCACACAGCAATGTATCGATCAACACTCATCATGGTCAATGTGAATATGCTGGTAAACATGTTATAATAGTCAATTGAAATAACTATTTTACACAGCACATCCCCAAATGGCCAAGAGTTCATCAGGTATTCAGTGCTTTGAAAAGGCATAGTCGTAGTAACTAAAGCATCTGCCATAGCCAGATTGAAAATATAAATGTTCGTTGCTGTCTTCATCTTTGTATACCTGAAGTACAAGAAAAATAAATCTTAATTATAGCAACACATTCACATATGAAGCTAGTGTATTAGGGTAACTGTGTGGTAACAATCTTTTGGACAAAAATGCAAGCATGTTCAAGACTGGGGGATTATATTAAATATGTTACATTTAGTCTCTCAACTATGTTGCTGCTGCTGTATCACCAATTAGATTTACTTGCCAGAGGCAAAAATGGATTTTTGAGTAATTTTAATGGGATCATGTAAATTAGTCAAGCCATTATAAAGATGCTAGATTTAGTTTCATCCTCTAAAATCCAACTACAAATAAATGAGAAAATAATTTGCTTCATTTGCAAGTGATAGAAAATTCTAGCAGTTCCTTTCCTTACAAGCATCTGAAAATACATCTACAATCAAAGATCCATAGCATGGCTGTGGTTGGCCCAGGTCAGCTGACTTGGACTTGCAGGGTTCAAAGTGTGAGACTAAAAATTGCAGTGTAGATGTTCAGGCTCGGGCTGGAGCCCAAGCTCTGAAGCCCCAAGAGGGAGTCGGGTCTCAGAATCCAGGCTCCAACTTGAGCCCAAACATCTACACTGCAATTTTTAGCCCCACAGCCTGAGTCCCATGAGTCTGAGTCAACTGACCTGGGCTCTGAGATTTGGTGTCATGGCTTTTTTTATTGCAGTTTAGATGTACCCTTACTGCCTATTGTTGGGGTTTTTTTTACAGAAGTAATGGGTATCCTCGTCTCACCATGCTACGGCATGAATAAATCATTAATCGTTACTCTTGCAGGGCCAAATCCTCAGCTGGTGTAAATTAGCATCTCTTAATTTATTTCACTGGAGCTATGCCAATTTACACAAGCTGAGTGGCCTGTAGAGTGTAGAATAAGATACCTGGTTAAATAGGCTACTAGAGTCCATAAAAATTACATTAATCATAATACTATTTTCTCGATATACATTCAAGCAAAACTGATATTTCATTGGTTTGTGTAACACCGATTAAGAAACGTGGCCTGCAATACCATACAAAACTATGGTGGCCACATTTTCAACGGTGGGCCCTTAAAGTTTCTGAGGTGGCACACAACAGAATATTGATTGTTTCTCATCATTGTTGATGAGAATATGCTGATAAACACTAGTCAGGCACTATTATTCCAGGACAGTTGTGGTCTTGCTGATTGTACAAGAGACTGGGTCTCAGGAAATCTGGATCTGCTTTTGACTCTACTACTTTTCTTTTAGAGAGTACTTTTTCTCTATAGATCTGAAAGTATTATAAGATTCACAACAACTTTTCCTTGTTCAAACTAGTTCTATCCACAGATCTCAAATGTGTGTGCAAACAGGCATTAATGTGCCTAACTACCTGTTTGGGTGTATAATTAACTGATTTGTACCTGAAAACCTAGGATTTGTGAGCACCACACTTTGTAACACAGCCACTTTCTCCTAAAATTTTAATTTTTAATATAAAAGTAAATGTACGAAGTCTAGTAATGAGAAGACTTTTGTGAGCCCTCCCACACAATTACCTCTCCACAAGTGTGCCCCCAAGCTAAGGCTTATGGGCATAATGGCCCTGGGATCAGTGTCCAATCAGGTTAAAGTAGCAGATGTCTTTCACAGATCTCCTGCCCAATGGGGGATCAGACTGTTTACTGCTGTCCAAAGACTCTCATAGATTAGAAGGAAAAATTGTCTTTTCTGCTAGTCTCCTGAACCTGCAAGTTGAGGGAACTTGAATCTCTCACCCAGAAGCTCTAGTGACCTTGGGTGAGAGGGCACCTGGCTTCATTGTAGCCTAGCAATAACCTATACTTTACCAATATATTATAGAAGGAGCTGGTAGCAGTTGCCTAACACTTTACATTACAGAGGATTCCTGTGACTTTTACTTTGTCATCATTGTTGACAAGAGGCCTTTGATACTTAGCAGGGGGATCCCCTTGAGCTACAAAAGTGCCGTTTCTTTATCCCATGAAATTCCATTCAGATTTGGGTGAGATAGAAAGTGTTCAAATTGCCATTTTCATTCTCTCACTTGCAACCACAAAAAAAGTTTGGCAGCCTGCCAAAGTCACTGAATGTTCAAAAGTCAGGCTCATGTCTCCACCAAAGCAGCCCACACTGCAGTGAGAATACCTGAGAGCTGTTGGAGCAGAGAACCGGGGGTGGGGAGAACAGACAGACAACCCAAATGCCCCCACATAAGCCCCTTAACCCACCACATGGCCCCAGTGGCCCATTCTCCTCCACCCCTTGGAGTTCTCCCAACACCAGGAGCAGGAGAAAGATGTGGGGGAAGAGAGAGAAAGCACCAGTCAGAGCTGGACTCCCTCTACACACACACAGACATATCCTGGCCCAGCACCTTATCCCCTTTAGCTTTATCATTATTGGTGTCATAAGATCAGTTACCAGCAAAAAACATGGAATGGAGTTAGGTTCATTTTCATTGCTGTGACTGCCTGCTGCTAGATTCAGAAATGCTTCTATTATCAGCTATGGCGTCTGATTTGGAGTCAGACAGCTTCTTGGGAAGACATTTTGACAGACAATTAGTAAATGCACAGTAGAAGCAATCAGAAAGATGCCATAATGTGCTGATCGAGTTTTACTAGCAAAGAAGTATTACTTGTACTCTCCAACACATGACAAAAAAGTGAACAGATATCTGGTTGACTAGCTGTCCTCTCTCTCCCCTGGTTTTTTTTATGACCTCAGACAATGGAAGTCAGTGGTATATGGGAAGTCTGGTTTTCCAAGTACCTTGCTTTGCACAGGCCTGCACTTGTACAGGGTGAAAGTATTGACTTAAAACGTCATGTTTTCCTAAAAAAAAAGTTTAGGGATGCCGCAGAAAATTAAAATTATTGATCCAATAGTTTAACTTCAGCTCTGAGGAAAATATCAGTATCTGTTTTAAAATGTCAAGTACGGGACTAAGAGCAGAGTTGGATTTAATGCAGCACATATAAGATGACTCACATTTACTGTCTTTCATTTAAAGTTCTCAAAGAGCCTTAAGAAAATATGTATAAACTGTGGATCATATTTTACCCTCAGTCTTTGTACAACCCCAGCCCCTTTCCCCCATTAACTTCAATGGAAGTTCTGTGCACAGAAAGAGGGTCAAATATAGTCCATGATATAATGAGAAATGTAACAGAGTGGCAGTTTTGACGATCCTACATAAAAGTGAAAGGCTCCTCTCCTCAGTCAACATAAGCTCAGATGCTAGAAGCTTGTATGAAGATGCAGAATAATTTCTGCTGTCTTATGTTCGTAGGTGGATCTTGTTATCTCCAGCTAGCATATAATAGGGGTGGCTGGAGCCTCTCTGGTACTAACATACCTGGGAGGAATAGAGATATCCCAGAGGAAAAACTTTGGCTTAAATTTATGTTTGGATATTATTGTTTAAGTTACCAAACCCCAGGAAGAAAAATGATCGGAAAGTGTGTCCACTTTGTAAGGAGCAGAGTGGAAATGCCATTTGTCTGCTTACAAATTATGAGTAAAATTCTCAAAAGCATCTAAGCAATTTCAGCACTTGGAAGCCCAAGGCCTACTGACTTCCAATGACGTTAAATGAACTTTGGCTCCTAAGTCACGTAGGCACTTTTGAAAAATTTACCCCACTTCTTATTTCACCCATCACTGCAATGCACTCACTTCTGGAGTAGGATGTAGCAGCTATTTAACAGGACACATCAACACTTATACATTTGTTCAAGACAGCGAGTAACGGGGGTGGGGGGGAATAACAGCTAACAAACCTACAGGGAAATTTGAGGTTTGGTAGGCACAGTGTTATTAACAAATTGGTACACATTCCAGAAAAGTATCACTATACATTACTAATATGTAAGGATTCTTTGACAATACTATTGCAAGCAGTGACAAAGAGAATGAGGATTTAGAAATTATAGTATTGCATTAATGATTTTAGTTAAAGCTAAAAAGGCGGCTCAAAATCATTTTTCATCCAGACATAACTTTGACAAAATAACATTTTCAGGCTGAAATGTTCCACTTCAGTATGAGATCAATTTGTTTTGCAAGAATGACAAATATACTACGACAACATTCTACGATAGTGGTTAATATGTGAAGTAAAAATGCATTAAATAGAATGCGGCATAGCAAAGAAGTGGTATAGGAGGACAGCTGTCGCAGTGAATTAAAACATGCAAAAAACAAATGTCAAACATTTCTTTAAGCTACAGATGGATGCTATCGTGCTAGGCTCCCTTGTGTGAAATTCCCATGGATAGCAGCAGCAAGGGGCAAAGACAAGAGGCATAACTGGGAAAGGCCCCAGATCTCAATATTTATATATTTAGGGTAAACTCAATACCAATTTCATCTACCAATGTGATATATGCCATCATGTGCCAGCAATGCCCCTTTGCCAAGTACATTGGCCAAACCAGACAGTCTCTATGCAAAAGAATAAATGGACACAAATGTGACATCAGGAATCATAACATTCAAAAACCAGGAGGAAAACACTTCAATCTCTCTGGTCACTCAATAACAGACCTCAAAGCGGCAATTCTTCAACAACAAAAACTTCAAAAACAGACTCCAACGTGAAGCTGCAGAACTGGAATTAATTTGCAAACTAGATACCATCAGATTAGGCCTGAATAAAGACTGGGAGTAGTTGGGTCATTACAAAACCTAAACTTAATTTCCCCAATACTAATTTCTCCCTACTGTTACTCACACCTTCTTGTCAACTGTCTGTAACGGGCCTCTCTCTTACCACTTCAAAAGTTATTTTTCCTCCCTTGGTATCCTGCTGTTAATTGATTTCTCTCATTAGACTGACCTAACACTTGGTAAAGCAACCCCCATCGTTCATGTATTTATACCTGCTGCTGTATTTTTTACTTCATACACCTGATGAAGTGGGTTCTAGCCCACGAAAGTTTATGCCCAAATAAATTTGTTAGTCTCTACGGTGCCACAAGGACTCCTCTTTTTTTTGTCAATACCAATT